GGCGGGCGGGAGGAGCGCGCAGGCACGAGTTGTACGGTCAAACCTGTGTGATTGTTAATGCCAAGCGCAGCGCATGAGAGAACACGAAGCACAACCCGCCTCCGGTCTCGAGAGCCCGGTTTCCACACCAGCCGGCAGGACTGGTGCCCAGGTGCTGAAGACAGAACCGGAGGAGCAGCTGTGTTTACAGCTCTATGGAGGCATGTCCGGGGAAAAAGGGAATGACAGAGAAATGCTGTAAGAAGAATGGTTCTGTGTGCAGGTTTGGGCACTGCAAGATAGGAAGGACATGGAGCTGCTGGGGAGGCTGCAGAGGGGGCAGCTGGGCTGAGGAGGGTCTGGAGAACAGGGCTGATGGGGAGAGGCTGAGGGAGCTGGAGATGTTCAGCCTGGAGAAGTCTGGGGGGAGACCTCACTGCTCTCTGCCAGCTACCTGAGAGGAAGATGTGGCGACGTGTGTGTTGGGCTCTTCTCCCTGGTGACCAGTGACAGAACAAGACAAAATGGGGTCAAGTTGTCACCAAGAGGGGTTCAGATTGGATATTAGGAAAGATTTCTTCACAGAAAGAGCAGTGAGGCCTTGGAACTGGCCACCCGGGGAGGTGGTACAGGCACCACCCCTGGAGGTGTTCAGAAAATGGGAGGATGTAGTGTTTCAGGAGATGGTTTAGCGGTTAGGGGTTGTAAACTGGAGGTGATACTTTCGTGTGTAATAACACTTTACAGGTGTCTCTTCCACTAATGTTACCAGTTGCTTTTTGGATGTATTGGGAACCTCAGCTTAGTTTCTGTGGGTCTGTGAAGAACCACTTCAGTTGGCATGTTTTCAACTTGACATCTGTTAACTTCATGTGTTGTCCCTACTGCTTGAACTGGAAGGAGCAGTGAACTGTCAGGCCCTAGTCATCCTCTTTGTGTCAAAGATTTAAGAGAAAAATGTCTTGATGTCCCTTTAGCTATTATTTTTCAAGGTGAATACCCTTCAGGTATTTTCTACAATGTCTTGGTTTTGTGGCCTAAGAACCAGAATCATAAAGTGGCTCATGTTCTCGCATAAAGGTGAGAGTAGAAGTTCTGTTCTCTTTTTCTGTTATTTTCTGGTACTCTTTTTTTTCTGATACCTGTGAACACTGAAATGAAAACTTTCATATGTTAGCCATTATAATAAAATATGATTCCTGGGATGTAATTAATGGTCAACTCAGAGCTCATATTTGTATATAATTATTTCTCTGCACCTCTTGCCTGTATAATTTTACATTTATCTATGTATAGATCTACATTTATCTCATTTACATTTTATATCTGCAATTTGTCTACCTGTATCTATATCATATATATATCTTTATCTAAACCCTGGGCTTATCTCAGATTATTTCAGTTCCATACATAACTTGCTGTCTCCAGCAAAATTTTCCCCTCCAGTGATGAGAGACAAGCCCAGTAAATCACACCAGTTCATGGGGGAATATTTATTTCTGTAAGATGATCTGTTCAAAGGTCTTGTCAAATGAGATACTAAGAAAAGTTGGGAAGCCATAAACAAAACATGGAGGCAGAAACTCGACAGGCAAACAAACAGTGACAAAGAAAGAAACCAGCTCTCAATAAACTGCATACAAAGTGGGACTCTGCAGCTGATAAGGGCATGGTGCTCCATTACCTGTTTTTATATATATTCCCATGCCCATTGTTGAGAGTAGGCTATATATAGATACACCCCTCTGCACAAAGGGAACTGATGAACACTGAGCTGTAAAATATTACTGGAGCTTCTCTCAGGATACTGTTGCAGCTCTGGCTAGCAAACGCTGCCATGCCCTGCTGCCTTCAGGCTGCCATGCCTTATCTGAACA